ATCAGGCTGGTCTTGAACTCCCGATCTCAGGTGATCCACCCGCCTTGGCCTCCAAAGTGCTAGGATTACAGGCGTGAGCCACTACGCCTGGCCTAAAGTGTATAATTCAAGGCTTTTCTGCATATTTATATTACATTACTAATTTCTTGAATTGTGACAAATGTACATAACATAAAATTGGCCATTTTAACTATTTTTAAGCATACAATTCAGTGACATTAAATATATTCATGGCCAGGGTGGTGGATCACACCTGTTATTCCAGCACTTTGGAAGGCCAAAGTGGGTGGATATACCAAAAACCATGAACTGTGCATTTTAAAAGGTGAATTTATGATATGTGAAATATGTCGTAACAAAACTGTATTTAAAAAGAAAAAGAGAAAGAGAATGGTTTAATAAAGCTCCATCAGTCAGCTTCAACCATTATCAAATCATGGCCAGTCATTTCATCAATACCCCTACCCCACCACTCTACCCTGTCTCCCACACTGGATTATTTTTAAAGTAAATTCCTGATATTATTTCTTCTGTAAATACTCAGTTTATCACTCCAAAAAGTAAGGACTTTTCGAAAAAAAAAATTGATACTGTTATCACATTGAAAAAAATTTTTAAATAAGACCTTAGTCCAGGCGCTGTGGTTCATGCCTGTGATCCCAGCAATTTGGGAAGCCGAGGTGGGCGGATCACTTTAGGTCAAGCGTTCTCGCCTAGCCAACATGGTGAAACCCCATCTCCACTAAAAAAAAGTAAAACAAAAAAATATGAAAATTAGCCGGGCATGGTGGCACGTGCCTGTACGCCCAGTCACTCCGGAGGCTGAGACATGAGAATTGCTTGAACCAGGAAGGTGGAAGTTGCAGTGAGTCAAGATTACACCACTGCACTCCAGCTTGGGTGACAGAGTGAGCCTCTGTCTCAAAAACAACAACAAAAAAACAGACCTTAATATAATCAAATATTCTGTGTTCACATTTTCCCAGTTGTCTCATTAATGTGAATTTTTAGCAGCTGCTTTTTCAAATTAAAATCACACATTACATTTGTTATTTGTCTCTTGCATTTCTGAGTATCTATAGGCTTTTTCTCCTTTTATTTTTCTTGCAATTTATTTATTGAAGAAATAGTTGTTTGTCATGTAGAGCTTCCTGTATTTTGGATTTTGCTGATTGCATCTCTGTGGTATCATTTAACATGATCATGATTACACAGTAATTAGCTTTTAGATGTTTGTTGTTAATTATACTATACATACGATTTAATTCACAATTCACCAACGTAGTCACTGCTCCTTTAGCTCTTACCAGCCACCACATCCTTTGAAGCATCCTTGACACAAATTATCTCATTTAGTTTTTATAATAACCCCATGTAGTATTATTATCCTCAGTTTAAGAGATAAAGAAAGTAAGGCTTAAGAGAAGTTATAGAAACTTGGCCACAGTCAATCTGCCAGTAGAGATCTGGGTTCAGACTGTCTGATGTTAAAACCCATGCTGTTATCTGTTATATGATAATATACCATCACATTTCCTGTGCCTGTGGTTTGTGGTGGTTGCTTTTAATCAGCTCTAAGAAGCAGTCTTTCAGTCCATCCAAAGAATATACTTTCACATTTCATCTTTAACACTTAGGAGGCTTTCAGCTTCAAGTAACAGAAAACTACATCTCAAATTGACTCAACAATAAGGATATTTTTATATTATATAACAAGAGATCCAGAAGAAGGGCAGCACTGGGGCTGGTTGCCGACTGACTCAACAACAACATGGCAGACCCAGATTCGTTGTATCTCTTTACAGTGACCAGAACTGGGTCACATGCCTCCTCCTAAACTCTTAGAGGCCAGTTAAGAAGATCCTGTTCCTCTTGCCTACCATAGACTTGAGAGTGTACCTCTCAGAGGCTAATGGGGTCACCTTTCCTACTGTGTAAACACTGATATAGGCTACTATAAAAAAGAAGAGGGTGGACTGAATGTTGAATAGACAACCAACAATATCTACTACCGTTCCTAATGAGGTATGTTACACATTCCAATATGAATAATTAAAATACTTCGTTATAACTGCCACATTGAACTTTTTTACTTTCTGCCATGTGACAGTTACTGTCAATATATCAGTTTCCTCATTTACAGGAATAAATGGCTACACAAGATGATCTGTAAGGTCCCTTGCAGCTCTAGGAGTTCTGTTTCAATTTTACATTTTCATCTTCTAAATAGAAAGTAGAAAAATCAAACATACAAGATACAGTCCAGAAATGATCATGGGTTTTAACCGATAAGTCATAGGCATATTGACATCTTTTCTCCCTTAAAATAAGATATAGGCATTAAATATAAAGAGCTAAACAGGCCAGGCTCAGTGGCTTACGCCTGTAATCCCAACACTTTGTGAGGCTGAGGCGGGCAGAGCACGAGGTCAGGAGATCGAGGCCATCCTGGCTAACATGGTGAAACCCCGTCTCTACTTAAAATACAAAATTTAGCCAGGTGTAGTGGTGGGTGCCTGTAATCCCAGCTACTCAGGAGCCTGGGGCAGAAGAATCGCTTGAACCAGGGAGGCGGAGGTTGTAGTGAGCTGAGGTGCACCACTGCACTCCAGCCTGGGAGGCAGAGTGAGACTCTTGTCTAAAAAAAAAGAGCTAAACTGACTGGAACTGGTAATATCTTTCCATTAAGTTTTAACATTAGGTTAAATGTTCTACCTTCCTCACTCATCCGTTAGTACCTTCCAGCTTCCAACACTTATCATACAGATAGAGACTGATCAGAAATTCCTTTTCACAACTCACTTTCTTTATTTTGGTGTCAGCATCCTCCTGGAGAATGACTCTGGGGCTGTAGGATAGCTCTTGCATCTCTGCTTTGACTGCCAACTATGACTTTAACTTAAATCATTTCCCTGTCTGCTTCCTTTCATGACTAGTTTCTGAAGGAATACTCTGTTTTATCACATGTAGCCATTCTCCTTGTGAGGAATCACAGGAAACCAGAGAGAAATACTGTACACTATCGGGCACCTTTGCTATGCTTTCTTCCAATATGAATGAAATTACTTTATATTTTCAGCATATGCCTGCTATCAGCTTTCTCTGAGAAAACTGCTGGCTCCATCTGTAAGCAGTCCTGTTCTTATTTAACAGAAGACTATAACTGTAACAAATGCACAACATAAAAAGGTGAAAGGCATCCTATTGGTTACACAGGACATTCGGAATAACAAATGTACAGGAAAACTTGGGAATGTGACTTAAAATAATTTGGTCACACCCCATTTCATTTAACTCTTTCTGGCTCAGATTTGTCATTCTGACAGGAGGCCCAGGGTACAGCCCATTACCACAATTAATCGCAGAAACAACACTGGTCTCTCAATCAGCAGCTACTGTGTGCCAGTGTTCATCTTGCTAGTTTCCAGAGTTCTAGAGGATTAACTTTATTTTCTGGTTCAACCCATCTGCTGGGAAAGGTATGGCCCTACTTTGAAATGTGCAAAGGAGAGTCAGTGCTGGGGGTGTTCACAGTTGCAAGGAGAGAAGACAGGCTTACTGACCACCTGGATGACCTTGAATCAGTCACATCACCTCTCTGGGCCTCTTATAACTATCATTGGGGAAAAAAATATCCTCACTCTGCCTGTCTCACAAGGGTTCTTGTAAAAATCAAATGAGAACGCGAATAGGAAAGTATTTTCATAAATGCAAACCAGTGTTATCATTTTCAGATATGGAATTTCCTCTGCAGCACTTTTTTTGGCCACATGATTACTGCGCACCTCGTGCCGGACAGACTATACAGCTGTCTCACCTCTTTTCACATTTTGCCTAAAATGTCATACAGAGATTACACCAGCCATGCTGCATCCATCCCTTTGGTTCATTTTCCTCCAATCACATCTCTGAATTCAAATCCCACCATCATGTGAAACACTGCATAGTAGCAACTTGCAAAACTGAACGAACCTTAAATTGTCAAGATAAGGCCCATATGCAAAGGTTATGCCCAAAATATGCTGCAAGGGTTCAAGAAGGAGAGAGAGAACACATCTAATTAGAAAAGGCTTCTGGAAGGTAAATCTAGATGCCATGTGTTTTCATAATGTTGGTCTTTGTCCTATGTCACCCCCCACTACTGTCATGCTTCAGAAACTTGAGGTTATTTTCTCTATCTTTGGAGCTCTCAAGAACCTGGCAGAGAGAACCTCTTAGGGTATATTCAGGGATGAAGTGAACCAGCTCGACGACTAACAAACTCAGTGGATTTTGACATTTACCCAGCCCAACAAAGCCCGACTATCTTTAGGTTAGCACGTTATATAGGACTTTCCCGGTCCAAGAACTTCCTCGGAACCCTCAAGGAAGGAACTTTCACTGAGTAGGCACTAAGTACCAGACCCTAAGTGCTGGGTCGCTTAATCCTCACAACACTTCTTCAAGCTTTAAGCCTGTTTTACAGTGAGGACGCGAAGGCTCAGACAGGCTGTTGTCTGGTCTCACATAAGTGAAGCCATCACTGCGCGTGGGCTCTCTGGGCCCTAAGGCCATCACCCTACAGCCTTGCTAACCTCCACCTAGCTGACCTCCGTCTCTCCCTAGGCAGCCAACCCAACCACTCTCTCCTCTTACGCCCCGGCCCAGCCAGGAAAACCTGGGGCCGGCGGCGTCTGTACCTGAGCCCGCTCTCCCGGCGGCTTCCACGTCAGGATGCCCGCTCACCCGAATGCTCCTCAGAAGCTTGCAAGCCTTTGCCACCCACGCGCTCCGGAGCCCCGAGCGTCTCCAAAGAGCCTGCTCAGCCTTCCCGCCGGCCCAGGTGCGTCCTCCCCTGCAGAGCAGTGACGGGGGGGTTCGGACCGCGATTCCAGGAGGGGACACCTGCCGGGGGAGGGCGGAGCTGGGCGGGTGGAGGCGAGGGGAACTCCGGGGCCGCGGCAAGCGCTGTCGGGAACTACGCTTCCCAGCCTGCTCCGCTGCAGCCGCGCGCCCCGGCGCCGCGCCCGGCCGGGAGCCGACTGTTGATCACCGCGCTCGCCCCGGCCACGGCGCCGCCCCTGCTCTACCGACCCCGCTCCACCGGGGTTGACGGACTGACTGCCCGCACCGCCGCCTCCGGGATGAGCGCACGGACGGGTGAGCGCGCTGGGGACGGGTGGGCCTGCCCCGGCCAGCCGCTGTCTGCAGCCCCCGGGGCTGCAGCGCGGTGGCCGCTGCGCCCTCCCTGCCTGCGGGAGGATGCTCCGCGGCGTCGGCGCTCGGCCAGGCGGGAGCGCAGAGCCCTGCCGCCTCTCGCCTCTAGCCTCCCGGCTCGGCCGGCTGCGCGGGGAGACCAGGCGCTGCGCGCGGGCGGTGCGGGCGGAAGGCGCCCGCCGGGTTGTGGATCCCGCGCCCTGCACTGCGGTGCCGCAGCCTCTGCAGCCCGCTGGGCCGCGGCGGGGAGGGCGCGGTCTCCTGTCTTCCCAGGCTGCGGGGCTGTATTCTTCCACGCCGAGCTTTGTTCCCTACTTCCCCCCATCCTGTGCATGTTTGAGGAGCTCCTGGAGCGGTAGGCATCTCCCTGCCTCGTTCAGCAGGCGATGGGGAGGGGTGGACTGGCCAGCCTCTTTCCTGAGATCGCTGGAGCTGTCACTCGCAGGGCGTTTCAGCCTCCCAGAAAGCTGCCTCGAGCGGTTCCTCGAGAGCCTTATTATTATTGTTATTATTTTCCTGGTTAAACTAATGGTGGTATGTACTCCCTTCACGCTTCATAAATTTTTCCTGTTGACCTTCGGAAATGAACGTGGATTTTTAAAATAATAATAAAAGGTTCCTAATGGGAATTTTTAGAGTATTCAGAGGTGGAAAGGTGATGCCGTCACAATGCAAATTAGCAGTGAAGGAGGCCGTGCTTGCTGCAGCTTCATCTGTGCCCATTACATATCTGAATCATGAGCCATTTGGAAAAGGAATGAAAAGAATATCGGGGGAAGGTATTTTAAAAACCAGGTTCTCCTCTTAGCTCGACCATTCAGGAGCTGAGGGACCTGGGCAAGTCCCTTCACCTCTCTGGGCCTCTGCATATAAAGTGGGGCGTTTTGGCTAAACGATTTGTAAACCTCTGTTCTTCCAATATTCTCCCCTCTCAGGGAACTGAAGAGATGAGTGTTTCTGTTTAACACCACTACAAAAAACCTGATTGTGGCAACAAGCAGCTCTCCCCTAGTGAAGAGGAAAGATTTTAAAGAGCTTCAGCAATGTGATTTTTTTAAAGATAAAACTGATTTTCTCTATCATCAGTTTAAGCCAATAAATATGCATTGCAATCATTTTAATTTTTTTAAGGTACTTTACTTTGATGGGCAACAAAGTGATGGGGTTTGCTTTTGTTTTTGATTTGCTGAAGGTGAAGTGATGGGATCAGCAGATAAAGGGTTAGTGGCTCCCTAGGGCTGGGCTTGAATGGTCAAATGTGGTCAGCAAGGAGGTGGGGGAGGAAACCCCAGCAAGAAGTAACCAGGGTGTATATACACAAAAAAGAGAAGATGCATACTGATGGGCATTGTTTGAAAAAGAAATACACAATAGAAGGAATGAGACAATCAGAAACTCTGCAAACCCTAACATAACAGCGCTCTGCAAACCCTAACATAGCAGTTGAATAAGGCAAGGACTTACCAACTAGTCCAAAACCTTTGAGTGAAAGGTGGTTGGGGAATAGGATTTTCATATTATTTCAAAGTATCACACCACAGATTGCTCAAGGGAAATTTGTCCTTGCAGTGAAGAGTTGAGGAGGTCACTACGAGAGCCAGGTGACCAAGTTTAGCAGCATAGACTGTGAGTCTCCTGTTGTAAAGCAATAAGGAGGCATAACTTCACCTCTGTAGTATTCCTAGCAAAAAGACTTGGCAATGCAGCAGAGCAAATGGGGGACAGCTACTGTGGATTAAAATCCTCAAGTGATACAACAGTGAACTGGGAAGTGTGAACTTTGAATCCTAGACGAGAAAAAAAAAGCTATAAAAGACAATTTTGAGACAGTTGGGTGTGTTTGAATATGGATTGCATGTGAGATGATATTATGGAATTGGTGTTAATTTTCTTAGGTGAGATAATGGTTCATTCTCTGGTTATGTAGAAGACCAGGCCATCCTTAGTCTTTGGAGATGTGGATATTAGAGGTAAAGTGTCATGACATCTGCAACTTTCAGCTGTGTCAGAAAAAAAAAGTATAGGGGTAGCACAGCAAGTTCAGGAACTTGGCAAATGTAGCAGAATGATGACAGTTGGTGAATCAAGAAGAATACAAATATTATTGTGCTATTCTTTTAACTTTTCTATAGATTTGAGCTTTAAGAAGTGGGGGAAGTCAGCCAGGCGTGGTGTCTCACGCCTGTAATCCCAGCACTTTGGGAGGCCTAGCGCATGCCATTGAACTCCAACCTGGGCAACAGAGGGAGACTGCATCTCAAAAAAAAAAAGGGAGGGAGTCAATAAAATAAATAAGTAAATAAAGAGAAAGTGTTGTAGAGGACTGGGTGGTTTGTGACAAATAGCTGCAGTGACTCTGTGGGGAATTTCTTGGCTTCACCTTCCCAAGATTGAAATCACCTGTTGGAGGTGCAAGTGGGGGGATGTTCCCTTTTTTGGTTTATCTTGGATACGCTCAATCATTTATGCTTAAGATACATCATTCTCTAGCTTCAATCTCAAAGTATTAGTAATTCTCCAAACCTTAGAAATTCTTGCTCTACCCAAGAACCATTCTGAAAGTGCTGTCCCTTTCCTCTCTATGTCCAAGATCTGTGTCAGTGTGTAAGGAAGTTTGAGAACATAGGCGGTAATTCATTTCATTTAGAGTTAGGGAAGTGTTAGAGAGGAAACGATTTAGCTTTGTGATAGAGCAGAAGTTGTGGGGTTTCCTTTCATTCTGTTGTGTGTAAATCATATACAACCAAATGTTTTCCTTATAGACTATAAGTGATTCAAAGAGGTTCATAGAAGGCATGTGCAGAAGAGACTCCCTGTTAACAGACCACAAAAACAGAATCAACTCTTAATAATAAAATGCTTAATCTCTTACGCAGAATCCTTTGCTGCAAAGATATTTTTGCTTTACCTGGATTGTACGTGTATGTGTATATATAAAAATATGAATTTAAAGTACACATATTTACTTGCATGGATGTCTACGTGTATCTGTGAATCTTTCAGTCAGTATTCCCCAAAATATATAGAATGTTAATGGGTTACAAGAAAAAGAAAATGCCTAGCCAGATGTGGTAAACACTAGAGTAAACAAAGCTGGAAAAGTTTGTTTAGTCTTGACTTTTCAGAGCCTTTCATGGTTAACGATCATTGTATATGGGGATGTAAATAGGGTAGGAATGTCTATAGTCTGTGATATATAATGTTTCCCAAACTCTGTGCAAAAAAATGAAAACTATCTTGAGGGACTACCGTTACATGGAACCGACTTTGAGAAACTGCCTTAAATACATTTTTGAGTGAAAGGTCAGGACATGTGAATAGATACATAATTTTTAAGTGTTTGTGCTTCCCATTACCTATAGATTAGAATTCAAACTTCAGTTTCTGGTTTTAATGGAGCATAACAGTTTGACCCCAGTCTACTTTTTCAACCTAAATTTCCCATCTTTCTTCCTATAAACTCTCCTGCTTAGTCCTTTGTTGTATACTATGAACCATTTTTATTTTCAGTACACCAAAAAATCAATTATACGTAACTTTCAGGTGCCATGGTCAGGTAAAATGAGAGGCACTTTTCTGCTATGGCTTTTCCATGGACTGGGATAGCCACCTTTCCTCCCAAAGCCATTTTGAGTTCCTTGGCCTTGGTCCCATGTTTCAGCACAACCTTCCTTAAAGCTGTGATTTCATGCTATTTCTGCCTTTATGATTGGCCATCCTGTTTCAACATCAAGGCTGCCTTACTAATTACCCTAATTACCTCTTTCACATGTGTCACCAGTATTCCTGGGTTCCCCTAGTGACAGCCAGGTAGGGTGGGGATGAGAAGGTCAGTTCCAGGACCGTGAGTTGCTGGAGCTCATGTAACAGAGAACAAGGACAGCCATGCCATTTCTGGACATGAGGAAAAAGGAGACAACCTGGGGGCATAAGCCCTAAGAAAGGACCAGGAGGCCCCTCATCAGAGTGGTTAGAGGCGTGTGGAGTGCAGTGAGCTGGGCGGCTATTCAAGCAGTGTGCATGGGGACAACTATCTTCACTGTTGATAAACAACCATTCTGACTGGGCAGTGTCCATTCTATACCAGTTGCTAAATGTTTTGCACATCATTTAGGTAAGCACTCACAAGTCAGGGTACGTGGAGCATCCATAAGTCATAACAAAGCCCTAGATCAAAACCTAGCTGGTATACAGACGCCAAAGAAAGAGACAAGATGAGTGAGTCAAAGACCACATAAGCAAGCAGAAGAAAGGAGTACACATGAATCAAAAGACAAAAAGCAGGAAACTGGAGGTGCCAATCAGGAAATTAGAAGCCCATAAGTTCCCAAAGGCAAGAGGAAGGAACATGGTTAAAAGCAACAAGCAGTTAAAAACCAGAAAGGCACAGATCTCCAAGTGGAAGGCAAGGAGGTAGATAGAGGTCAAGAAACAGGAACTCCTCTAAAAACAGAAAAGAAGGCCAAACACAGGGACAAGGCAACAGCAGGAAATAGGACCCGCCATGAGAATTAGAAACCAAGAGGCAGGCTGGGCAGATAGCAAGACTTTTTGGCTTTTTTGCTACTTCCTACCCAGGTGGAAATCTATCTCATAGCTTGGCTAGCTTACACTATGGTGGCTTTCTACACCTGGCAACGCTGACCTGTAGCTCTTACAGGTTCTGCCTCTTCGTATTCAGCAGACCTTGATGGAGAAAACAGCGGGAAAGAACACTCAAAAAAAATTATTCCACAACCAAGGACAAAAGAGAAATAGCTTTGACTGAGGACTTGTGTGTGCTAGACACTGTGCCTAATATGTATATGGTCATCTTAAGTGTCACCTCAGCCTTCAGAGATAAGCTCTGTCCTTTGCATGTTTTACAGAGGAAGGAACAGAAGTTTGGAGAGGTTGTCACTGCACACATACCTGCACCATCAGACCTTGGGTTGGTTAACTCT